TTTTTTTTGAGTTAACTCCCTTTTCCTTCACTCTGTTTGTTCTTTCTTTGTTTTCTCCTTTTTTCGCATATCCGTCTTACAAATTAGTTACATAGCTGTTAAGTACATAGCGGGTATGAGGTTGTACTGATGATTCCCGCTGTTACCAGCACGTATAATTCGGTCTGTGTTTACAGCTTAGGGATGAAACACAGACTGCATCGAAAAATGCCTTCTTACACATGATAATTAAATCCAATCCTTCTATTCTACTATTTCTTCTTTGCGCTCTTTTTTGACATCGAAGTCGTTACCAGCATTCCAAGGTAAAATTTGAAGTTACGATCTCTATGTGGACACAGAATATATAATTAAACTGCTAAAACAAACTAAAAGCCGACAAAATGGGAAATTTCTCTACGATCTGCATCGATGGCAAAAAAAGCTGCTAAAATAAAACCATAAATAAACAGAAATTAGCGCAAGCATTGAAAATCATGTAGTAAAAAATAACTAACGACTTTGTTCCAAATGGCTTTTGTAGATTGCTTCTGGGGTTTTTGGCTCCATAATGTCAAGTTCACGAGCAAGTGAATGAAAGTATGTATGCAAATGAGTGTTTGAATTCAGTTCAATTAGTTTCTCGGCTTTTGGCACTCCTTCGAGATCAAGGAAAATTTGATGCCGGCCCAGCAGAATTGCCATTTGTTTTTGTTCCAAACTGAAAAAAAAAAAAAAAAAAACATATATATTTTAAAACATCTACGTTATTCAAAAATACAGATAAACAAAACAGAGTAAGAAGGATGAAAGAAATAAGAAAACTGTCCAAAACTGTGAAGAATGTTATCAAAAGCACATGTTTGCTGATCAAACTGTCGAAATCAAAAAAAAAAGTTAAAAATACTAACACATCAACCTCACATACGTCAGTTTAAATGCATAAAGGCTGATGAACTTGTAGAGAAACCACAGGTGTTAAAATACCAAAGGCAAATGTATGTATGCATGTATGTATGCGTGTGTGTGTGTGTGTACGTG